TTCCTCTAGCTGCGTTCGACTGGATAGGAGACAAACAAGAAGCTAAGTGCCAAGCGCGAGCTGTCCGGATACGCCCATTCGGTTGGTAATCATTGGGTGTCCATCCGGATGACTGCAGCACTTGGTGTTTGTATAAGCTTCAATATGTGTTGCTGCAGGTCATATATCATATGTGAAAGGTTTGTGGCGAGAAATAGTGTATGTATAAGGACCAGAAATAGAGTACCCTATGGGAAGCGCAACCTGGCTCGCCGGCCTTGCCGTCGCGACGTGCTGCCACGTAGCGCTTGGCGTGGGCTACCACAGCCCGTGGGTCAATGCGACCGTCAATGGAAACGTGGTCCGGCTCGAGATCTCAACGCGCTTCCGAGGCGTGATCCTCTACGCCGACGTCGACGAGTTGGCGTACACGACGCGTGCGCCTTGGCGTTGGCTCCGTGGCCGCAGAGGACGTCGTCGCCAAAATCGCTGACGCCCAGCTCTTTGAAAAGTAAGCGCTCTCTCCATCGTATGTACGTCTCGAACCACTATCCATGGGCAGGCGATGGAACGTGTCGGGGCTTCTTGGCATGGGACTCGTGTCCTCGCCGCAGGCCGGCTGGCCGCTCCCAGGCGACCTCGTGCTGCAGTACAACGGCATGGATCCGACGACGGGCGCCGCGAATGCAACGCTGCGTCCTGCGTCGTCGCCAGGTACGACGTCCTAGAGTATGCTTCCGCTCACGCGACCAGAGGACGACAACTGGACGTGGTCCGAGTCGATGAACGTCGTGCATGACTTTTACTACAAGCGCCGAACGTCCTTTACAGGTATAATACGACTGCTCTCTCCGCAGTATCGCAGCGCGAGCATGACCTGGGTACAGTGCACAACGCGACGGTCTGCGGCGTGCCGTTGACGCAGCCGTCGTCGTCGTACTGGGCCGCCCACGTGGACTTTGAGGTGCCCTGCCTCGTCTTGCCCAAAGAGTTTTACACCTCGGTGAGCATCTATCCTGTATCTTCGTATCGATGTCGAACCGTGTTAGCTTGTGACGTGGGCGCCGCTCGAGTACAACGCGTCGGCCAACCTCACGCAGCTGCGCTCCAACGTGTCCCTGCACGAGCTGCCGTCGCTCTCGTTCCAGGCCGGGTACGGGCTCCCGACGCTCACGCTGCCGCTCGCAGCGTTGGCGCTCAACGTCTCGACGGGCTCCACCCCCCAGTACGCTTTTTTTCCCACGTCGACGATCGACAAGATATCGCTGTCTAGGCTGTGCATACAACAGTCCACGAGCATTATCAACCGCATTCTCGAGCACCAGATTGTCCTCGAAGAAGACGACATTTTTGTACCTGCACGAGTGGACATGGAAAGTGGCGTCTGATGTTCTATTAGACCAAAGAGATCGGTGGCATTGCGTTCGTGCCCGACATGTACCAGTCGCCCATCCTCTTTGGCGCCATGGTGCTCCAGCATCTGCCGACGCTGCTGAGCGACACTCACAAGCAAGTGGGCTTTGTCAAGATGCCGGTGGTGACGCCGCCGACGCATCCGGTCTGCACCGTGCCTGTCGCCTGCAGAGGCCAGCAGACGTACGACCAACCCACCAACACATGCAAAGGTACTAGGCTTGGATGCGCTCGAGGCACCAACAACGAGATGGGTAGACCCCAACTGCGACCTTGTCTACTACCACGAGCTCGACGACGCCACGAAGACGTGTGTTCCGGTACCCAACCTTCCGACTACAAGAATTCGACAGGGTCGAGCAACAACGATCGCATAGGTCGCGCAATGGCAGTGGGTCGCGACGTGTCTCATCGCGGGCTTCATCGCGTTGGAAGTCTACCTCGACCGCAGCCGCCGGCGTCTCGCTGAGAGGACATTGGCCGACGCCGACGGTTCGTCGTGAGCCAACGGCGTCACGTACGCAGAGTGCACAGTATACAGTGCATGATGGTATATGATGTTGATTGTAAGCTTTCGTTATCGTCGTCGTTGAGGGGTCCAAGCGGATGGACTACTGCGTGGAAGCTCCTTCCCCTTACTGC